CGGGTTCCTATTCCTGTCTAGCTTAGTCACGCTGCAGTTCCGTTCTGACCAGATACACGTCGAGTTCTTTCTCTCTTTTACTTTCAAATCGAACCAAGCAAACGCCCTCTCGTCGGTTCAAGACAATCTCTAGGGTTTCTCGTTCTCACTCAAATCATGGCACGAAAAACGCCGTAATTGATTAGGTTGTTGTTCTTGGTGCGTAATAAAAAGCGTCATTTAACTACGTTTAAATTCGTTCAAGACATTTTAATGACAAAATAACAAATGGAAGAAATAAAAATTCTACTGAGCAATCCATAATTTTAGCTGTACTATAAAGGATAGTACAAAGCTCGCTTTTGTTATGAGTTTTGTTTGGTAATTTGAAACGAAAAAGATTTATCATGAGTATCTTAATTTCTGGAATTTCAGCTCTTTCAGCTCTTTCAGCTCTTTCAGCTCTTTCAGCTCTTTCAGCTCTTTCAGCTCTTTCAGCTCTTTCAGTTTCAGCTTTTTATAGATACCCATCTCTCATGTCATACCTCGTGACTCCTTGGGTGATGTACAACTGGCAGTTACCACTGTAGAAGACTGGTCTCGGTCACAGCGGATGCAGCTAAATGCTGACAAATGTAAGGAGTTAATTATTGGCTTTAAGAAGAACTCGCACAACTTTTCTCCTCTCGAAGTAGAAGGAAAAGAGCTTCCTGTTGTTGACCGTGCCAAGATACTAAGGACTTGAAATGGAACGACCACATTGCAGAATGTATAGAGAAGGCCAACAAGCGCCTCTATTTCATAGCTCTTCTAAAGAGGGCTCGTGTCCCAGCTAATGACATTGTTAACTTTTATTGCTCCACTATCAGACCTGTGCTGGAATACTGCGCCCCCGCCTTTCATCACGCTCTCCCCGCCTATCTCAGCGACGACATCGAAAGAGTCCAAAAAAGGTGCTTTCTATAGTATCACCTAACAAGTCATATCAGGACTGTCTCGCCAGTGTCGACCTGCCAACTCTTAAAGATAGACGAAACGAACTTTGTAGCCAGTTATTTAAGTCCATTGCTACAAATCCTGAACATAAGTTGTTCCATCTGCTTCCTCCAAGAAATCAATCTCGCTACAACCTCAGGTGTCAAAGGCCATATACTTTGCCTCGTTCCCATGCAGAACGTTTCAGACGGTCGTTTATTTACTCTATGGCAAACCAAGTTTAATGGCGTACCATAAAAACTGTTAAAACCATTATATCCTAGCATAATTTTAAGATTTACTGACATTTTATTACTATTTATATATTTTATCCATATTTTAATATCACTTGTAAATATCACGCAATTCAGTCTTCTGACTGCAATGTTGATTTATTAATAAAACTATCTATCTATCTATCTATCATCTGGTTGCCAGCGACAAATTCAGGAAAAAGAACTATTCAGGCAAGGGACACTTTCTAAGAATTTTTGCAGGGAACAAAATTATGTTAAGAAGGAAGGGCGCCACATTTGCTTGCGAGATTGTCAACAATGTTGCTCAAAATCCCTTTCCCAGGGAAAAAGTCGTACAAGAACAGTTATTGAGAAGAACAGACCCCGTCGGCTCCTCCTGACGTATAAGCATTTACGGACTAAAACATTGTGCACTACATGTCGAGGAGAAAATTGCATCGCGTCAAGCGTTTCTGCACCAATTCCAAAACTTTCATTTAGACACCCGAAGTTTCGAAGAAAGCATATCATGAAACTTCTGTAACTTGATTGTTCCAGACCACGTACCATTCTGTTTAATAAACATATAATTACATACGAAAGCAAAGTATGTCGTAAAATACCTTTTTTTCTTACTTCCACTATATAGAGAAACCTCGAATTATGTTATTTGAAAATATTAAGTTTACGAAATGGAGAAAGTATAGGTGTCCCATAGATTCTAATTATATGATAAATCCTAGTATTACAAATTAGAAAGAAAAAGAGAGAGAGATGCGTTCAGTCTGGTTAGTGTAATTTTAGAATTAAGGATTTTTTAAGAAAGCTAGAGTGAATTAATTTAAGATTTCTTTCATCATTTCATCATAAAAAAATGGCGTAAATATTATTTTTCCAGGCACAGCAAAGAAAATGTATAACCTTCAAGCAAGAAGTCTTCTTATGCGCGATGTCATTGGAGCATTAATAAGAAAGAAAAAGTCATCTAAGAAGTCCAACAGTCCTGGGAAACTTTTGGGTTTGACAGTGTGTACTTACTGCAAGGAAGGAGACAGAAAATTGGCTGAGTCTAGACTGTCTTTTGAAAGTGATGACTTGGAGTTATGTCAGCTGTGGTCTTCCACAATCAATGAAAACCTAAAAGGTATTTATTGTTGTGCTTTTATCAACAAACAACAGTTATCTATCCATTTTTTTTAATCCGACATGTTTATGAGTAATAAATAATTATTAGTAAAGAACTCCTATAAGGTCAAGGGCTTCAATCATGACCTTTTTGCAAAGTTTTCTAAAAACTGAGCTATTAGACCAACAACGGTTGGCGGTCATGGATTTAATTCTTGTTAAAGCACAAAGGGGAAGGGAAAAGGAAACACTATTGAAGAGGGATGAGGTTGGTGGAGAAATATAATCACTGGAAATGGATAGCTTTTTTCAACCCAATGCATGCCGTAGGTTTGATACTTGCAAGTGTGCAGGCTAGTAACGAGGTATATTTTTTTGCTGTTGATCCGGATCAAAACGGCCTAAAAACCTGATCCCGATCCCAAAACTCCGTACATTTTGAGCCCTGATCCCCTTACAGAATCGTTGAAAAATATCATTGATCCCGATCCCAGTTGAAAAACCTTTGATCCCAGGTTAAATCCATTTGATCCGGATCCTGAGCCTAAATCCTGATCCCTGATCCCAGAATAGTCCAAAAAATGACGCTGATCCCTGATCCCAAGACCTCGTTACTAGCCTGAAGTGTGTGATTATTAATTTGTGCTAGGTCTCCATGGCCGGCCGAGCAAATTGAAAGTATTCATCAATCCTCATAGCAAGAAAGGCAAGGCACCCATGGTGTATGACAGCCTGGTAGCTCCACTTTTCAGGAAGGCAGGGATAAAGACAGACGTTATAAGTAAGATTCATGACTTTCCATACGCAGGTTCAGTGACCACGAACAGCGCATTGAACCGAGGCGTCAAGGTACGCAGAACATAAAAAAATGATCTGTGATTATAGTGTTCCTTGACGCCTCGGTTCAATGCTTTGTTCGTGGTCACTGGACCTGCGTATGGAAAGTCGTGAATATTGGCAATGATTGCTTTTATTGTATTACTGTTACCTGACGTCCAGTAATTGTTACCGTCAATGGCAACAGGTTGGCACGAGGCTTAAAGTGCACCTAAACCCATGCCTAGAAGTGTTTTCCATCACGATAATTATTACTTTTTATTCTCTCTGTACTTTACATATTAAGTAACAGAAATAGTCTCCTTCACTGTTCCCTGCKCCATCTTGAAAAGTAGCCGTGCCTTTACATCGAAGCGAAACGACCGTTGAGCGTGCAATGATAGACACCCGTGAA